TGATGATGATGATGATGATGATGATGATGATGATGATGATGATGATGATGATGATGATGCTGATGATGATGATGATGATGATGATGATGATGATGATGATGATGATGAGGAGGAGGAGGAGGAGGAGGAGGAGGAGGAGGAGGAGGAGGAGGAGGAGGAGGGGCAGACGCAGCGCTCGGGGCAGGCGCTTTGGCGGTTCCGGGGGGTAGCTTGACGGCGCGCGGGACATCGCCCTAGCCTTCCACGCGTTCCAGCTCTAGCCAGTTTCCTTGTATTTTGTCCAGCCCTGGCGACCGCCTCCCTACTGTTTCGGGCTCGCTTCGCCCTGGCCACTTCCACTCTCTCTGACTTTCCAACTTCCACTTGTTCCAGCTTCTTTGTGCGCGTGAGACATTCCAGAAACTGCCTCGCCCTCGAGTGCCCAAGGAGTTGCCATCTCTTCCTCGGCGGAATTCGGTGACAGGGCAGCGGAAGCCAGCGGAAGAACGACGAGGGCGGCCCAGCTGGTGGAAGGCCGGCAGAAGCCGGCGGATGTAAACATCATGTTTTGCTTAAGGGTTCTGGCTCCATATTTTGTCCCGGAGACGTGTCGGAGGCATCTTGGTTCACCTCAAGGCCCACTCAACCGTGCAGGGTACGCTGGTCCTTTCAGTACCGGCCTAGGGGCCTAGGTTTTGAGGCTTGAACGCGCAGTGTGTGTGTGTGTGTGTGTGTCTGGGTGTCCGTGTTTCTGTGTGTCTGCATGTCTGTGTGTCTGTGTGTTTGTGTGTCTGTGTGTCTGTGTGTCTGTGTGTCTGTGTGTCTGTGTGTCTGTGTGTCTGTGTGTTTGTGTGTCTGTGTGAGTGTGTCTGTGTGTCTGTGTGTCTGTGTGTCTGTGTGTCTGTGTGTCTGTGTGTCTGTGTGTCTGTGTGTCTGTGTGTCTGTGTGTCAGTGTGTCTGTGTAACTGTGTGTCTGTGTGTATGTGTGTGTGTGCCTGTGTGTCTGTGTGTCTGTGTGTCTGCGTGACTATTTGTCTGTGTGTCTGTGTGTCTGTGTGTGTCTGTGTGTCTGTGTGTGTTTGTGTGTCTGTGTGTCTGTGTGTCTGTGTGTCTGTGTGTCTGTTTGTCTGTTTGTCAGTGTGTCTGTGTGTCTGTGAGTATGTGCGTCTGTAGTATGTCTGTGTGTCTGTGTGTCCGTGTGGCTGCGGGTTTGTGTGTCTGTTTGTCTGTGTGTCTGTGTGTCTGTGTTTGTCTGTGTGTCTGCGTGTGTGCGCGCGTGCGTGTGTGCGTAGGTGCGTGCGTGCGTACGTTCGTGCGTGCGTGCGTGCGCGCGTGCGTGTGTGTGCGTGTGTGTGTGTGTGTGTCTCTGTGTCTCGGTGTCTCTATGCCAGTTGTGTCTGTTGTGTCTGTTGTGTCTGTTGTGTCTGTTGTGTCTGTTGTGTCCGTTGTGTCCGATGTGTCCGATGTGTATGTGTTGTGTGGGTTTCGTGTGTTGCGTGTGTGTGTGTTTGTGCGCGTTGTGTGTGTTGTGTGTGTGTGTGTTGTGTTGTGTGTGTGTTGTGTTGTGTGTTGTGTGTGCTGCGTGTGCTACGTGTGTCGTGTGTCTTGTGTGTGTTGTGTGTGTGTTGTGTGGTGTGTGTGTGTGTGTGTTTGCTGTGTGTGTTGTGTGTGTGTCGTGTTTTGTGCCTGTGTGTGTTCTGTGTGCTGTGTGTATGTGTGTTGTGTGTTCTGTGTGTGTGGGCGTGTTGTGTATGTGTGTTTGTATTGTGCGCGTGGTAGCGCTGGGACGGTCGATGATACACGCATGTGTTTCGGTGTCCGATGTTGTGACACATGACGTCATGCTTCGGTCCGCGTGTTTGATGCGGCAGCTGTCGCTTCGCTCTTGTCCCGCCTCCCTTCATGTTCACCTCTCCTCTGAAAATGGTACGACGTTTCGCGTATCCCCACCTGCCCATCCAGAACGGATGCACAGCGAAGTTGTTTGGGAGGCATGGCATGAAGCAAGGACGCCAACAATGGCGAGCTTAGAAGCCTCTGGCAGCCTCTGGGAGACCCCTTCGGAGCCATCTCAGAGCTCTCTTGGGGGTCTCTGTGGGTCCTCTTGGAAGCCCCGGGAGCCCTCCTGAGGCCTGCTTGGAGGACACCGATCCAAGCAGGGGGGGCATCCTTTCCCTTTCGGAGCCCCAGAAGTCGTGTCTTGGGGCCCTCTTGGGGCGCTCCTGGAGCGCTCTTGGGCCCTCTTCGGGCCGTCTTGGCCAGGGGGGTACCCCAAGAAGCTGTCCCCTTCTGGAGTCCCAGAACTCGGCTCTCGGGGCCCTCTTGGGGCACTCTTGGGGCGCTCTCGGGCGCTCTCGGGGCCGTCTTGGGGCCATCATGGACCCCATTTGGGGGCTTTGCTGGGCCATCTTGAAGCCGTCTTGAGACCATCAGAGGCCCATCGGAAACGAAACGGCGAGACACAATCGCAAGGTTCTTTCGAGAGTCGATCGTGTCCGCAGCTTTCTCCCGCCTTCCCTCACGCCCTTCCTGGCGCCCATGCGGCCCATTTCGCAACTTTGACCCACGGCGCGGCCCATCATACTCGTGTTCGCGAGAAGACGGTACGTGTTTTTGTGTTCATTGTTTCGGCGATGGTCGCGGGCCCTCTCCCCCTTCCCTCCCCCCTCCTCCCCTCCTCTCCTGCTCCCCCCTTTCTCTCCCCGCGCATACCAGATTTCGGCTGCTTTTTGGCGGCTGCTCAGCCCCCCCCCCAAGACTGACTGCTTGCGCGAGTGTCCAAAAGGGATCGGCTAAGCAGCGGCCCAGACCCAGACACCCCCCCCTTCCCCACCCTTCGGCTCAATGCCGAAACTGAGAACAAACTAACGCTTACGTGGGAATGGTTTGGGCCCCTTGGCTTTTGCCTTTTTGCGACGGGAGGCAGGCTGTGCCCAAAGCCGTCCCCGAGTGGTAGGTGCCGCCGAAGGGGCAGTGCCCGCGGAGCCGACTTTCGCCGACCCTGGCCAGGCGACCGATGCCCCGCGCCCCCCCGCCCCCTCCCTCTCCCTCCCTCCCTCCTTAACTCCCCCTCTTCCTCCCTCCCCCCTCCCTCCCTCCCTGCCTGGCATCCTGGCGCGGCCGATCCGATTCGATCCTCCGCTGACTGACCGAGTCACTTGAATTGAACTGCACTGAACTGACTGCGCTGGAGGGGCACTTTTGACAAGATATTTCAAGCCGCCCGCGGGCGCAACAACAACCGTAACCGCAACCATGCGACACATTTCACTCCGCCCGCGGGCGCAACCGCAACCGCAACCAGGCGACACAGTTCAACACGCCCGCGGGCGCAACCGCAACCGCAACCAGGCGACACATTTTAACCCGCCCGCGGGCGCAACCGCAACCGCAACCGCAACCGCAACCGCAACCGCAACCGCAACCTGGCGACACATTTCAACCCGCCCGCGGGCGCAACCGCCGGAGATGCAGGAGGTGCAGGAGCACGAGGAGGGGGTGAGAGGAGGAGCAGGATGAGGAGGAGGAGGAGAAGGAGGAGGAGGAGGAGGAGGAGGAGGAGGAGGAGGAGGAGGAAGAGCAGGAGGAGGGGTGGAGGGGAGGAGGAGGAGGAGGAGGAGGAGGAGGAGGAGGGAGGAGGGAGGAGGAGGAGGAGGAGGAGGAGGAGGAGGAGGAGAGGTGGAGATGAGGAGGAGGAGGAGGAGGAGGAGGAGGAGGAGGAGGAGGAGGAGGAGGAGGAGGAGGAGGAGGAGGAGTGAGAAGAAAAGAAGGAAGAGAGGGAGCAGGAAGAGGAGGATGGACAGGACGGCCAGATGGCGTCGGAGGAGGAGGAGAAGGAGGAGAAGGAGGAGCAGGTTGGAGGACGACAACGACAACGACGAGGGGCATACATGGGTGGTCTTGTTTCAGGGGGTTGCAGGAGCACGTCCCGGTGGAGGAGGACACCCAATGGCACGATAGGAAGATGTAGGGCAAGGAGGATGAGAAGGAGGAGGAGGAGGAGGAGGAGACCGATGAGGACGAGGAGGAGGAGGATGAGGAGCAGGAGGAGGAGGATGAGGAGCAGGAGGATGAGGAGGAGGACGCATTGCCCGCGGTTCTCCGCTGGGACACTGCAGCGGGGAATCCCTATTCCACGCTGTTGCCCCAGACTTTTTCAAGACGGGGCCCCCGGAAGTCTCGACCCATTCCCCAGGATTGGCTTCTCATCCTGAGTCTTTTTTTGACGTCCCCAGGGCCCGGCGAGGGCCTCCAGAGCCCGAAAATGGCGAAACACCTCCAGTCCATAATTTTTTACGACGTGGGCATGTCTGGGAATCGATCCGATGCCGACCGCTCGTGCTCTCCGAGGACGTGATCCCCGCTCCCCCTCCTCTCCCTCCCCCCCCCCCTCCTCTCCCTCCCCCCTTCTCCCCCCCCTTCCCTCCCTCCATCCCCGCGCAGCTTCCATCATAGGGGCTTCGTGGGTCCCCCCCCACACTTTTACATGAAGGCGTCACCAGCCACCCGAGGAGGAGGAGGAGGAGGAGGAGGACTAGCAGCAGGAGGAGGATGAGAAGGAACAGCCACCGGAGGAGGAGGAGGAGGCGAGAACCTGCCTGCAGCCCCTCGGCCAACGAAGACGGCTGCAGGGAGGGGTCCAACATACCTCCACACCTTTTCACATTCACATTACGGCGTCAAGTGCCACCCGCTCGATTTTCCCCCTCCCCCGTCCCTCCCTGCCTCCCCACCCCTCCTCTGCCTGGCACCCTGGCGCGCCCGGTCCAACCCGATCCCGACGCCGTGCCGCTGCGAGCCGCTACGGTGCCGCCCGCTCGCGCCCTTCGCGAGGGACGTGTCCTCTCGCTCCCTCCCCCTCTCCTCCCCCTCCTCTCCCTCCACTCCCCCTTCTTCCTCCCGCCCTCTCCCCCCCTTCTCGGGCCCTTCCCTCCCTCCATCTCCCCCTTCCCCCCCTCCCCCCCTCCCCCCTCACCACTGCCCTCCTCCCCCCCTCCCCTGCCTGGCATCCTGGCGCGCCCCATCCGACCCGAGCCCGACGCCGTGCCGCTGCGAGCCGCTCCGGCGCCGCCCGCTCGCGCCCCTCGCGAGGACGTGGTCCATGCTCCGGCCCGCGGGCGGGCGGGAGCGCCCGCCGCAGCGGCGGGGAGGCGCGGACCCGCCGCGCTCTCGCCTCGTCATCATCTTCTTCTTCTCCTTCTTCTTCTTCTTCTTCTTATTATTATTATTAGTAGTAGCAGTATTCTTCGTTGTATTATTATTATTAATTCTTATTATTATTATTATCTTATGATTTGTATGACTGTTCCTCTTACTCGCATTATGCGTCTTATTATTATGGTTATTATTATTGTTATTATTCTTATTATTCTTCCTAGTATTGTCAGTAGTGTTTTTCTTATTATTCGTAGTTTTCGTCTTCTTATTCTGATTAGTATGCTTATCATTATTTTTACTGTTGGCATTAGTATTATTATTATTATCATTCGTGTTATTATTGTTAGCATTCTTATTCTTAGTATTATTGTCATCCTCATTATTCTTCTTATTATTATCAGTATTCTTACTATTATTCTTCTGCATACTATTATTACTGTTGTTGTTATTTGTCTTCTGAGTCGCATTCTTATGTTTCGTCTTCCTATTCTTATTTTATTAATCGTATTATTGTTATTATTCGTATTATTATTCCTCTTCTTCTTCTTCTTCTTATTATTAGTCTTCTTCTTCTTATTCTTCTTCTTCTTTATTATTATTATTATTATTATTCGTATTATTATTAGTATTATTATTAGTATTATTTATTATTATTATTTTTATCATTATATTATTTTTATTATTATGAATATTAATATTATTATTATTTTTATTATTATTATTATTATTATTGTTTTTCCTCCTCCTCCTCCACCTCCTCCACCTCCTTCCCTCCTTCCCTCCTCCCCCTCCTCCTCCTCCTCCTCCCTCCTCCTCCCCCTCCTCCTCCTCCTCCTCCCTTCCTCCTCCTCCTCCCTCCTCCCCCCCTCTCCTCCCTGCCTCCTCCTCCTCCCTCCTCCTCGTCCTCCCTCCTCCTCCTCCTCCTCCTCCTCCTCCTCCTCCTCCTCTTCCTCCTCGGGCTCCAGCGATCGCATGCCCTCGCCGCGTGCGCCGTCTCGGGATGGCTGCCGCTGCGCGTGGGGCTAGAGGGAACCCTCTCGCGGCTGCCGACGCCGCCCTCCTCGTGGAGGCCGCGGTCGGCGCCGCGATCCGCGCTCCGCGCCGCACCGCCGCGGCGGTGGTGCGTGCGGCCATTGCGGCTGCCGCCTCTGCCCTGGCGGCGCCGTTGGCTGCGCCTGCCGCTGCTGGGGTCGCGGCTGCGGGGCGACCTGAGGCGCCACGCGCCGTCTCGGAGGCGAAGCAGGCGCGCCGCCGCCGCCAGCGCCTCGCGGCGCGGCGGGCGGCCGAGCGGGGCGCTCGCCCGCGCGCTTCCGAGGCTGCTGCGGAAGATGCCGACCTCGACCTCGACGACGACGACGCCGGCTCGGAGGCGGCCGCGCGCGAGGGGCTGCTGGCTCTGGAGCGCGGCGATGCCGCTGCTGAGATGGACGTCGTGGACGAGTTCGACGACAGCTGGGCCGATGTCCCGCCACGCCGCGGTTCGCGGCGGCGCGGCCGGCAAAAGGCCGTTGTGGCCAGGGCTCGCGCGACTTGAGATGTGGCGCGTGGCGCGGCGGCGGTGCCCCCTGGGGCGCCTGCGGCTGCCTCGGTGCCTGCTGCGGCCGCTGCTGGCTCTGCAGGCGCGTTTGCGCCTCCCGCGGACGAGCGCGCGTCTGGCGAGCGCGCGGCGCTGGTCGCAGAGCTCGCGACGCTGTGCTCCAAGCCCGTGGACGCCGCCCTCATGGCCCTTGATCTCGACCACCTGCGGACCTACGTCGAGTTGGTTCGCATGCAGAAGTCGAAGTGAGAGGGCTGGCCCTCATGGGCCCCACTGCCGCCTCGTGGTTGGGCCTCTGCAGAGCATGCCCCAGGTGCGCAGTGGGTGTTCCCAGGGGGGCCCTTCCCCTTCCGTTTGCTGCGCGTGTGAGCCTCTCACGGAAGCTCGGTTGCAGTACAGCGGTTGGGGCTCCATAGTATAGAGCCTGTTGTCGTTAGTCCCCGCGGCCGACGACGCTCAGTCGGCGCCCACCGCCACCGCCTCCTCCTCCTCCTCTGTCCCTCGGCCGCGCTCGGCTGCGCGTGGGATTAGGTCGGGCATGACACCCTACATGGTGAGTTTCAACAAAAATCCAATTACCCTGTGACGTACCCGGCCCTTTCTATACATGTGGCGATTCTACTCAGGACCGTCCAATGCTGACTGGGATTCTGAAGGACCCGCAGTGCGCAAGAAGAGCACCCAGCAGTGAGTTCTGAAGAGCGCAGCAAGAAGAGGAACGGCAAGTATATACAACGCGGAAGCACAGGGGCGTTGAAAGAAATGCGCCCCGAAAAAATGAACACGAAAGGGCGCGGCGGCGAGGGCTAAAACAGAACATCCGTTTAACTCAGCAACGCGCTGCGCTGAGCGGGGCAAATGCACGTGGTGCATAACGGGGGTGGGGGCTCATCCAGCAGTGGATACAGAAGGGCGCGGCAGCGAACCCAAAGAGAAGCACCCACAAGTGGAATCAAAAGGTCGCGGTCGCGAGAATAAGCAGGAGCACGCAGAAGTGGACGCAGGAGGGCGCAGTAGAAAAGCCGGCCAACAGTGGTTACCAAAGAGCGCGGCTCGTCCGACATCGCACTTTGCGGCGACAGTTGCGCAGATCGCAAGCCCCCCAGGGGGGCTGCGAGGTCCCGAGGTGGTCCGCGTATGACGCACCTCCGCTGGGCCTCCCAGTAGCCCGCGAAAGTGGCGACAGTTGCGCAGATCGCAAGCCCCCCAGGGGGCGGCGAGGTCCCGAGGTGGTCCGCGTGTGACGTACCTCCGCTGGGCCTCCCAGGAGCCCACGAAAGTGGCGACAGTTGCGCGGATCGCAAGCCCCCCAGGGGGCGGCGAGGTCCCGAGGTGGTCCGCGTATGACGTACTTCCGCTGGGCATCCCAGGGGCCTACGACAGCGGCGACAGTTGCGCAGGTCGCAAGCCCCCCAGGGGGCGGCGAGGTCCCGAGGTGGTCCGCGTGTGACGTACCTCCGCTGGGCCTCCCAGGAGCCCACGAACGTGGCGACAGTTGCGCAGATCGCAAGCCCTTCAGTGGGCGGCGAGATCCCGAGGTGGTCCGCGTATGACGTACCACCGCTGGGCCTCCCAGGAGCCCGCGAACGCGGCGACAGTTGCGCAGATCGCAAGCCCTTCAGTGGGCGGCGAGATCCCGAGGTGGTCCGCGTGTGACGTACCTCCGCTGGGCCTCCCAGGAACCCCCGAACGCGGCGACAGTTGCGCAGATCGCAAGCCCCCCAGGGGGCGGCGAGATCCCGAGGTGGTCCGCGTATGACGTACCTCCGCTGGGCCCCCCAGGAGCCCGCGAAAGTGGCGACAGTTGGCAGATCGCAAACCCCCCAGGGGGCGGCGAGGTACCGAGGTGGCCAGCGTATGACGTACTTCTGCTGGGCGTCCCAGGAGCCCACGAAAGTGGCGACAGTTGCGCAGATCGCAAGCCCATCAGGGGCGGCGATGTCCCGAGGTGGTACGTACCTCCGCTGGGCCTCCCAGGAGCCCGCGAACGCGGCGACAATTGCGCAGATCGCAAGCCTTTCAGTGGGCGGCGAGATCCCGAGGTGTTCCGCGTATGACGCACCTCCGCTGGGCCTCCCAGGGGCTCACGAAAGTGGCGACAGTTGCGCAGATCGCAAGCCCCCCCCCCAGAGGGCGGCGAGGTCCCGAGGTGGCCCGCGTATGACGCACCTCCGCTGGGCATCCCAGGAGCCCACGAAAGTGGCGACAGTTGCGCAGATCGCAAGCCCCCCCAAGGGGGCGGCGAGCTCCCGAGGTGATCCGCGCATGACGTACCTCCGCTGGGCATCCCAGGAGCCCACGAAAGTGGCGACCGTTGCGCAGATCGCAAGCCCCCCCCCCCCAGGGGGCGGCGAGCTCCCGAGGTGTTCCGCGTATGACGTACCTCCGCTGGGCCTCCCAGTAGCCCACGAAAGTGGCGACAGTTCCACATGTCGCAAGCACATCAGGGGGCGGCGAGATCCCGAGGTGTTCCGCGGACGACGTACCTCCGCTGGGCCTCCCATGAGCCCACGAAAATGGCGACAATTGCGCAGATCGCAGCCCGACGGCACGAAAGAAGAGGAGATGGGGAACGCAGGGAACAGGACAGAAGGAGGAGGGGGGGGAGGGGGGTGGGGGGGGGCGGGGGAAGGAGGGTGGAGACCACACTGCTCAATTTTAAGCGACAACCCAGCACAGGAGGGCTGGGGACAATAGTCAAACAAACGAGCTCAAAACAGAGGTGCTGAGGTGCTGACTACATCAGGTCTGCCGACCTGCTCGGCGCTACGGCCGCGGACGCCCCCGACCCAGAAGGATGCCGCCGCCAGGTTCAAAGGGGGCGCTGCCCAAAAGGGCCCAGGTCGGCCCGCAGGCCAGCCCCGAAAACCAGGGGCCAACAGGCCCGAAACAAAGCCAGGGAACCACCAGGGCCCCCCCCCAGGAACCCCCTCGGAAGCAACGGGCGAGGCGTCCCTACAGGCCCGCCTCAGGCCTTCCAAACCAGAACTTTGGCCTAAAGTATTGGTTTGCCACCTTGACGACCTCCCAGCTGCCCTCCAGCTTCTCGAGCTTGCCCTTGGAGTCTCGGTTCCCGAACGTCGAGTCGCCATCCATGGACTCCTGGGGCGCATGCATCCGGCCGTCGACGAACGAGGCATCGACGACGCCAGCCGCGACGAGCTCGAGCGACCTCTCGAGGATCGCATCCTTGAAGCCGCCCTTGGACTCGGAGGACTCCTGCACCTCGCTGGCGATGCAGCTGCCCTCGGGCTCGAAGGACACCTGCACCTCGCCGGCGATGCTTGTCTTGCCCTTCCTGGCATTCTTGCCTTTCTTGCACTTTGCCGCGGGGCCGAGCGCACCCTTGCCACCTTTCTTTGGGCCTGCCACGCCCTCCGCTACGTCGAACGACTTCGCGTTGCAAAAAACTGCGGCCAGGCTGGCCGTTCTTCTCCTTGCTGTCGTCGACCGCGCCCACGTCGCCATGCGGTCCTTGCTGCCGAACTGTTGGTCTCCGAGCTCTGCGCCAGGATCGGGGAGACGTCCAGCGTCTCCTGTTGGGCCTGGCTCTTCAGCGCTTGATAACCTCCACAAGGTGCCTCGCGCCCATCTGCTTGAGCTCGTCCGTGAACTGGCCCTTCAGCGGGTGGCCTCCGGCAGCTTGGACCGCTTCTTGGACTCGAACTCCTGCGTCGCCTGGGAGATCTTCAGGCGCTTCTCCGTGCAGGCCTTCGCCTTCGCCCTGTCCCTGGCCTTGTTCCCAGGGTGGGAGCGCTTGCCAGGCTGCTTCTTGAGATTCCTGAGCTCGAGGCGCTCCGCTGCCACCTCCGTCGCGCCCATGCCGACCGGGGCCGTGGATGTCAGCCTTCGCCAACGCAGCGCCGCGTCCGAAGGCCTCCTCCGCGGCGACGAGGGCACGCGGGGAGACGTCAGCACCTTCTCCTGTTCTTGCGTCGAACTTGCCCTTGGGCCTCCACACGAAGCCTTGCGAGCGCCCGCCCGCGCAGGTAGCTTCTTGGCCTCCGTCTTGGGCTGCGGTTGCGGCCCGTGCCCCAGGTGAGCAGGGTGCCTCGGCTCCGCCACCACCGCCTGCAGAGGAGGCGGCCCGCTCGGGGCTTTCGGCAGTGGCCCGAACCCCAGCCCCAGCTGCGTGAGGTTGAGGTGCGCCGTGCCGAACGTCCTGGCCGTGCTGATCGCCATCGCGGCAGACGACGATGCGAAGCTCGTCGAACGAGTGCTAGCGTGCTTGTGCCTTTCGACCGGTTCAGGCCCCCCTCCCGTCCATGCAAGTAAATTTGCCGGAGTCTAAATGAGCAGGCTCTAAAAGTGGCTTCTCGTCAAGGACGCGCAGTGGGGGGGCCGTGAATGAAGGGGCAGCGAAGGCTGCCGAACAGGGTCTCTTCTTCCCCCCCAGGGGGCCTTTAGGGCCCGAAAAGGGCACCTTTCTCCCCGCCCCATTGATCGCCCCCCCCCACTACTTCGCGCCCAAGGTACATTGTGGAGGGCATAATTGGTCAGGAGTGAAATGAGGACGTACACGTACATCAATCCGCGTTGGTTCCCAGAGTGCGCTTCGCTCGAACGTTCGTATCACGCAGCTGGTCTCGCGGACTGGGGGACAGTGTTCATTTACGTGGGTGGGCGCGTACGGACTTCGTGGGCTCCCTCGTTCGGGTCTCCAGATGCCTGAATGCGATCCGATAGTAGCGGCCAGCGCGCTTGGGTTTGGCTCCCCCGCGCCTCTCCTAAAGGCGCGCGCCGATTGGTCACTCTTGCCTACGGTAGGTTCGTGTCGTGTCGACCGGCGTTCAACTCTGAACGCCGCCGGCGACCTAGAATCGGCCCATCGTTGAACGTTTTGGCGTTTCGGAAAAAAGGCCAATCGTTCAAGGTTGAGCAGGCGATCGCAAACATGGATCAAAGGGGCGTGGATTAGCGACGGGTCCCGTTTCCATGGGCAATCGCGGATTTCCGCCGCCGAGCGAGGCGGCACCGGCCGCATTTTGGGGAGGGCACCTCCCCCGATCCATGGATTTGGCGACCGCGCGCCAAATCCATGGATCGCGAATCCATGTTTGCGCGCCCCCGAGTTGAACGATCCCCGCGGTGTCAGGAACCAACGCCAAGGTCATCACGACACGAACCTGCCGTAGGGCCGTCCGCGCGTATAGCGGCCGCCCGCTCGCGCTGCCGCTGCCGGCTCGGTGCAGTGGCAGCGGTGAGCAGAGAAGCGGCTGCACGCAATTCGGAGGAGGAAAAGGTACCCA